TTTTTTGGTTGGAGCATCCACATTTTCGGTATGTACAAGCTGCGGAACTTTTGGATTAGGCAAATATTACGCTAACTGACAGCTTGAGATTTTACATTAAAAATTTTTGATCCGTTTCTGTCACATATCAAGCAATATTCTTATTTATTTTTGTGTATTTTCATTGCGTGAAAGCATTCCAGACAACATAATGTCTAAAATCGGGACATAAGACGTCTTAAAGATAATCTTTAAGATACCTTAAAGACATTTATACGTAAATTGTCTGAAACATATCTTAAAGATGATCTTTAATACGTCTTATATCTCGATTTTAGACATTATGTAATTCTGTGTAACCAATACGACGTAAACTCCCGATGAAAAATTTTTCATGCAAAATTATGTATGAAATTTGTCCATACATAATTATGTATAATTATATACAATCATATAAAATTATATATAATTATACACAATTATGTGTAACAATATATATAATTACATATAAATCTATGCGTAATTATGTAAAATTATATATGAATTTATATATATTATTATATATAATTATGTATAATTACGTATATAAGTAGAATATATGAACATGAATGGACAAATTTGATACATAATAATATATAATTATGTATAATTATATATAATTTTATATAATTATATATGAAAAATTTTTCATTGGGCTTTGCAAAAAAATGTCAGTGTTCTATCGGTAAAGTTTTCAGCTTCAGCATCCCCTTAAGTGTTAAGTGATTAAAGTTGTAAGCTCGCGCGTATTATATTGAATTGTCCCAAATGGTGCGTTGAGAATCATAGATAGGACGGGCACGATAAGCAGCGATTAACTCACTCACCGAGTTTGAGCGGAGGCAGATTACTGCAGGAATGCATCCCGCTGTCGTCCGGACGCGAGCAAATGTAATCCTGACCCTGATACTCGAAATACTTCTCCAGATCGCTGGAAAATCAACGAAGTGGCGATTAAATCGATCTGTCTTATGCTGACCCGTCACGCATAGATCCTTAGATTTAAAGGCTTGCGTACATATGCTTTATTATGCACAGATGCACTCTTTGCATGCTTCTTTTATGCGTATGCATTGTATGTATGTATATATGTATATATGTTTAATATATATATATATATATATATATATATATATATATATATATATATATACACAAAGTGTTCCACACAACTCGCGACCTTAACTTTAATAACATATTCTTCAAATGAGTGAATCTCACGCAGAGGTGAAAATGCTAATTAAAAATATCGAGACTTAATAGATTTCAAGTAGGAACCGCGCGCGTTTGAAGCCTTACCATTTCACTTTTATCACTGCGCGATGTACAGTACGTTTAGTAATAAAAAGACTTTAACACTTCTACTTCGACAAACTTCAGAACGCATCCGGCATTCAATAGGAAAATATATCTCCTAGGAATTACTAAAACACAAATTCTCCTATGAATATGGATATATGCGTGGCAAGAGATCACTAGAAGAAGAACATTGTAATCTTTTCTCTATTAACTTCACCTGAGCATTTGATTTGTTAACTTAAAACGCTTCCTACTTAAAAATTGTTATGGTTTCTATATTTTTTATTAATATTTTAGTCTCCACTTGACAACCAAGAATACGTAATTAAAGTGAAGCTCGCTAGTTGCGAGACACCATGTATATGAAACGTTTAATATACACAGAGCGTGCCGCGCGGAATTACCGGAGGAGCTCCCAGTGCGGCATCTCTCGCATTACGCACACATAGCCGCCACCGAAATGCAAATGCGATTGATCGAGCAGCGCCAGTAGATCCAAGTGGATACCGAGCAACGGATATGCACTCGAATGAGGGATAATGGAAAACGACATAGGCAGCGCGCAAATCATTGTCAAGTCTAGAATAAACTCGGGTGTTATGGCCATACGGAAAAGATGGCCACACACTGAAAAACTCATTTAACTGAGTTAACCAAAATTTGGTTAAAATAAAGTGGAACAAATGTTTTGGTTGTGAGAAGCAATATTGATTTGATTTTTTTTATTTGGCTTGATTTTTTGAAGCAAAAATGGAACAGGTTTAGTTTCAGAGAATCAAATCAATGGTAGAAAGAACGAAATTTTGGTCCTCACAACTGAAACATTTGTTCGATCCTATTTTAACCAAATTTGGATTAACCCAACTAAATGAATTTTTCAGTGCTGGCTGTAATTTCTTTAATAATTGCAAAATATTGCGTTTGTCATAATCAGTAAAAAGATAATCGATATTTATCGTAGTGTATGTGCGTACATTTTTCGAAATAGCAAAATTATGAAAATTATACTGTTTTTATTTATGGCCGCCTGTAAAATTTGTCCACTAAAACTTGCTGTAACGTCGAATAAATTACAGTTATCGCAATCAACGTTAGATACGTGAAATAGAAATAGAATCCCAAATAGAATCGAATCGAATAAAATCGAATTGAATCGTTAAAAGAATTTTTAATTAACATAATCATTGAATACAACATGAAAATAGTGACTTCAGTAACTAACAGAGAGAGATAACATTGATTGTGACATCAATTCATTTTATAAGGCAAGAGATATATAATATATAGTCGGTAAACGTGTATGGAATACAGTTCCAGCCTTGAAAGCTGCGCAACGACATATATCGATTCGACAGTTGTCGGTGAGAGTTTATCTAAAAACCATTATCTCCTCTTAATATTTTTGAAGAAAATCTTAATGTATACAAGTGTAAACTTTTCAAATCATGCTAATTCCCATAAAGCTGGATGTCTTTAATAGTATTTTGTTAATGCTAATGTTTGCGATTCGTATTCAAAACTTTTCGATTCGAAATTTTCGAATTATTCGGATTGGAATCATAGGGATTCGAAATTGAATCGAATCGAATTTCACTTGATTCGATTCGAATTCGAATAGTTTGCACATCTCTAAAGATAGCGCACTATCATTCTGTGAACATTTTATAAAACGAAAGCCGTTTCAAAAATTATTTTTAATATTACAGTAATTAAATCTTATATGCAATATGCGTTGATCAAAAGATTGCATTTAGAATTTAAGTTTTGTAATAGAAGTTTCTATTTTATATATGTATTATATTTTTCACAAATAATATGTATTAAATATCTCATATTAAAATAAATATGTTAAATTATGTCTTTTTCATTATTTTATAAAATAATAGGTACAGAATCTTGAACATAAAATGTATCTATTCCTTTATGGCCATCCCTAATGGGTCATCTATTCCTTTATGGCCATCTTATTTGAAAAATTTAAGTAAGATGGCCAATGCTCGTGTTTTAATATTTTTGTAATAAATAATTTTATTGAAGTATTTTTCTTTTAACTCTGATGGTATTATGTACTGTAGGCTTCAGTGAAGTAATGTGCCGAACGCTATTAAGAAATAACAATAAAAAATGTATTTTTTTTGCATTTTAAAAAAGTATGGCTATCTTATCCGAGTTTATCCTATAGCGACTATGACTATTACTCGGAAAAACTAATCGATAATCTCGGCATTCCAAGTAGAGCGCGTGTATCAGGCGAAAAATCGAACGTACATCTCTTCGGTTTCTCGTTAAGCGGCTTTACATTTTTGAGTCTTCTCTCTCACACTCCAATCACTAGTTGGCCGATTGACCAACCCACTAACAGCTCATCCGCTGATTCCCGGACGCCTTGTGTATATGGATACGTATATCCCCGAGCAAATATGTATCTAGTAGAGCAGATTTCTAGTAGACTAGTAGCTAGATAGGAATGATAGATAGTTAAGTTTTCCAGCCAGTCACTAGCTCGTGACTGGCTAAATATTCCTACTCAGTTTTCTGAATGTTAGGATTATCTAGTAACTGTACCAATTACATAGATAGTGGCTAGATGAAAAAGATTACACAGTAATGAGATAGAAAGTCATCAGTAAATCCTGAATAGAAATTGGATATCAGAACTGTTTAGTAACTGTACCAATTATACAGGGTGTTTCTTTACCTTCGCCCACGAAGCACATAGAGTTATTTCTTATGAAAAATTGAATCGAAGGTCCTAAACCATTTTTGTCTTTGATGCTTAACGAAGCAGATATTCTTTAATAAATTCCAGCAAATCTGTGCGGTTCTTTAGAAGTATACATGTCTGTGAGCCGCACGCCTGGTAGTGTGCATGAATGTCCCGCCGCTGCATTCACGTAAACTACCAGGCGCGCAGCTCACAGACGTGTATCCTCTTTATCTGCGATGCTGACTGGTTTTCTCGCTTAGCTCATTTCATGTGGGCTGCGGCTTGCTTCGTGTCGTTTGCGCCTGTCAGGAAAATAGCTATCATCGCGTTGGATAGGTCATGAAAAATAATAGAGAAGAGATATGTCTCTCCCTGTCTCTCCCTGTCTCTCCCTGTCTCTCCTTGTCTCTCCTTGTCTCTCCCTGTCTCTCCCTACCTCTCCTGTCTCTCCCTGTCTCTCCCTGTCTTTCCCTGTCTCTCCCTGTCTCTCCCTGTCTCTCCTTGTCTCTTCCCGTCTCTCCATGTCTCTCCCTGTTTCTCCCTGTCTTTCCTTGCCTTTCCCTGTCTCTCTCTGTCTCTTCTTCTCTCCCTGTCTCTCCCTGTCTCTCCCTACCTCTCCTGTCTCTCCCTGTCTCTCTCTGTCTCTCCCTGTCTCTCCCCGTCTCTTTCAGTCTCTCCCTATCTCTCCCTGTCTCTCCCTGTCTTTCCCTGTCTCTCTCTGTCTCTTCTTCTCTCCCTGTCTCTCCCTGTCTCTCCCTGTCTTTCCCCGTCTCTCTCCGTCTTTTCCTGTCTTTCTCTGTCTCTCCCTATCTCTCCCTATAATTATTAATTAATTAAAATATATTTTAATTTAATTTAATTTTTATTTAATTTTTATTTTACATTTTTTATTAGCTATATGGCGCGCGCGTATTGTTCTAGTACTTTTAAAAAACGGCACGGATTTACTGGAATTTATTAAAGAATATCTGCCTCGTTAAGCATCAAAGATAAAAATGGTTCAGGACTTCTCGATTTTTCATAAGAAATAACACTATGTGCTTCGTGGGCGGAGGTAAAGAAACATCCTGTAGTTACAAGTTATTTTTTCGTATCTAGCTACTACATAATTTTTCTGGTACAGCCACTAGGAGAAGTGAGCGTTACATTCCTAGCTAGTAGCGATGTAAGACCCAATTTTTCTGTGTCATTACTAGACGATCACTAGATTCAATTTTTGCTCGGGTGAATGCTGAGAGGCCTATAACGTACGTGCGCAACGATCGAAAGAGATATGTATGTGTATGTATGTGTGTGTATAAATACATATATATATATATATATATATATATATATATATATATATATATATATATATATATA